TTAAAAATATTTTATATTTTTAAATAAAAAAATATTTATCTTTTTTGCACAGTTTTGCCTCTGAGCTTTGAAAAGCTGTAGCCACTGTTCACAGCTTCAAGGCAATTAGGCATGCATATACCTTTTGTCTTCTTTCATGTCTTTTTTTGTTTGCGTGTTATTCTTTTTTTTTTTTTCCTCCTCCACCATTTAGTGCTTCAAGGCAATTGGGTATGTGTCTGTTGTCTATAGTTTGTCTTGCTTCACGTAATCATGTTGTTTTTGTCTGTATGTGCTATTCCTTTTTTTTTTTTAATATTTTTTTTCTCTTTTTTGTTGAATCAAAGTAACTTGACTTCGCTACCCTTACAATTTCATTTTTCTTAGGCCTTCCAATTAAGCAAATGCAAGGATAAAGTTGAGATGAGCCACTCCAATCTCTAATATACTTTGTTTTTTCAACGTTTATGATTTTATTTTACAATTTGTGTTATGATTTACAATTTATTTTATATATTTAATATATTGTGCAATTTGTGTTATGATCTTGTAGTTTTTTTATTCATTCTAATATTTTATATAATGTAATTTACAATCTATATTTTATTATGATTAAAAGATGTATAGGAAAAAAACTATTGATTTATTTTTTAAGAGAAAAGAGATAAATGATAAAAGAACACCACCTATTTTTAATGTTAAAAATATTGATGAACAACCTATAATGTCAATTGTGGAGCAACTTGCTCTCCAACCACGTCCTTCTAAATCTATGAGAATTGAATAAGAAAAAGTTAACATTGACACTTTGATTCATGATCCTAGAAAGCATCCACAAATTTAGGATTATCCAGTTAATCAATAAGATGAAATTCATAAAGCATATCTAAAGTTTGGGCCATATCAATTTATAAAGGATGTGTATCCACTTTTTGGTCAAGAAGATCATCCTCATCGATTTCAAGCTCATTGGTTTAAAGATTTTCCTTGATTAGAGTATTCACTAGAAAAAGATGCTGCTTTTTGCTCTCCCTAATATCCATTTTCTAAAAAATTAAGTACATTCTATTTAATAGGATTTAAAAATTTGAAGAGAGTGAATAATGGGAAAGAATGTACTTTTTATCCCATATGGAAAAAAGTCCTAATTCTGCTCACAATATTGTTGTTAGATCCTAATAACTTCAAGAATCAATCTTGTCATATTGATAAAGTATTGGCTAAACAAACTACACAAGAAATTTTGAGTAATTGCTTGTGACTAAAAGCCTTCGTGGATGCTGTTAGATGGTTAACATTTTAAGCTTGTGCTTTTAGATGACATGTTGAAAGTTTGGGATCAAAGAATCAAGGTAACTTTCTTGAAATGATAAAGCTTTTGGCTTCTTATAATAAAGAAGTAGATGAAGTTGTCTTAGAAAATTCTCCATAAAATGCAAACTATACTTCATTTGATATTCAAAAAAAAATTTTACACGTATTTACTAAAAAGGTATAAAGTGAAATTCAAGAAGAGATTAGTAATGTAAAATTTTGTTTGATTATTGATGAATCTCGGGATGAGTATAGAAGAGAACAAATGGCTCTTGTTATTAGATTTATTGATAAGATTGGATTTGTCAAGGAGCATTTTCTTGATGTAGCACATGTTAAAGATACCACTGCAATCACTATTAAGCAAGAAATTTGTTCAATCTTGTCTTATCATAATCCCAACATTCAAAATATTAGAGGTCAAGGATATGATAAAGCTAGTAATATGCATGGAGAGTGCAATGGTTTGCAAGCTTTAATCTTTCAAGAATGTCCCTATGCATATTACATAAGCTGTTTAGCTCATCAATTACAACTAGCTCTTGTTGTTGCAGCTAAAGAAGCAGTTGATGTTCATTCATTCTTTCAAAACTTAAATATGATTGTTGATGTTGTATGTTCTTGTAAGCACAATGATGAATTACAAGATACTTTTGCATCTCAAATTGTCAATTTGGTTGAAAATAATGAGATTCAAACTAAAAGTGGGGCTAACCAAGTTGGCACACTGCAAAGGCCTAGAGATATTAGATGGAGTTCTCATTTTAATTCTATATGTAGCCATTTACGCATGTATAGTGCAACTACTTCAATTCTTAAAGATATAGCTGTTACAAGATCTACTTATTCTCAACGAGGTAGTGTTACATATGTTCTTAAAGTATTGATGTCATTTAATTTTGCTTTTGATTTACATTTGATGAAAGAAATTATAGGAATCACTAAGAAACTTTGTCAAATTAAAACAAAAATCTCAAGATATTTTGAATGCTATTTCCTTGATATCTACCACAAAATGACTTATTCAAAAGTAAAGAGATTATGGTTGGGATGATGTTCTAGAAAAATTTATATATTTATGTAATAATCAAGCTATTGAAATTCTTGATATGAATTGTTTTTACTCTGATATAATTTAATCTTGTCAACATAAATATTCTGTGATTGTTGAGTATTATTATCATGTTGATATATTTAATATAGTCATAGATTATGAATTAAAAGAATTAAATAATAGATTTAGTGAGTAAGCAACAAAGCTTCTAAAATTGAGCATGGCTTTTAATCCTAACGATGCATTTAAATCATTTAGTGCTAAGAATATCTACAATCTTGTTGAGAAATTTTACCCTTTAGATTTTTCTAATCAAGAAAAGATTCAATTAAAATATGAATTATAATATTATGAGCTTGATGTGCCTAAAGATCCTCATTTTTGAAACTTGACTACTATGAGTGAGTTATGTAAAAAGTTTGTAAAGGTTGGAAAGTCCAATTCTTATCATTTGATTGATAGATTACTAAGGTTTGTACTAACTCTTTCAATGTCAACAGCAACTATTGAGCGAGCTTTTTCAGTTATGAAAATTATAAAGACAAGGCTTTGCAACAAGATAGAAGATGGGTTTCTCACTAATTTAATGATAGTTTATATTAAGAAAGAGATTGCTAAAAAATTTGCCACATACATGATCATTGATGATTTTTCTGCCATGAAGAATTGATGAGCAAAACTTAAAAAACGAAGGTACATATTTATTTTAATTTTATATTTTTAAAATTAATAAATATGAATATAGCTACATGTTGAAATATTTATGTTAGATTTTTCTTTTCTTCAGTTATAGTATATGCTTTAAGATCTTGGGCCACCCACTTAAAAATCTTGGCTTTGCCCCTGCCCACGCACATGATATTAGCAGAAAATGAAAAAAATTAACGATTGATTAACGAAAAGAAAATTTTTGCTCCTTTGAAAAATATTCAAGGTTGAACCTGTCCCACTTAAGAGTATAGGGTATCCAACACTCCTAAAAAATAAATATAAGGGTAAAATTGAACCTTAACTCTAATTTTTATGTAAGGTATTCATATATATATATATATATATTGAATTTATTTTTATGTAATTTAATTTTGAGATCCTTTTTTAAAAGTTTTAAATCCACTGACAATTAATTTTTTTAATGACAAGATTTTTCATGCATCATTTTTAAAATTTGAAGAAAAAAATTGCATTAAGTATAAATTTAGGATATTATATATTCTCTCTATTTAAAAATGTAAGGTATTTTTTAAAAAGTTAAATATTAAAAAATGTAAGGCATTTTTAGATGTAATCATTATTTTTTTAAAGTGTTTCTATTGATAGTGACTTTATATTTATCATGAGATATTTAATAAAAATAAATATAAAAAATAAAGTTAATTCAAAAATAAATAATTAGCTTTATTAAAAAATAAATTTAATTAAAAATATTTATATTTTTAACGACAAAATATATACTCTCAAGTGCACAGTGAGTGGTTGAGGGTAGGCGTACGTGTCCAAATCGCATTGCCCTGCTATTGGAGGACGAAGAGGAGACATTGAAAGCTCATGCCCGTGAACACAATTATTATCATTGTTATTTTTTGGGCATCCTTTGTGATGTCTTAATTCTCAAGGACATCACGTCATCTTCTCCATCAAAGTGTTTGACAAAACACAGATGCGACAACCCACATATGTTTTGACGTCGAAACTTGAAAAGATTGATTTCTTTTAAGAAAAAGAAAAGAGGAAAAAAATATATACCGTAATCAGGGGGAATAAAAAATAGATGGTGTCATTAACAATACATGGTGTCAAATTTCTCTGACTCGGTAAAACAAAGTAGTTGGTAAACAAATTTGGATTCGATAATTATATTAGTTAAAATTCAAATCAATAATTCTGAAGTCATTCTCTACTTGAATTAATGAACAAGTAAGCTTATTTAAACAATTATATAGATTCAAAATCATAAATTATAAATATTAAGTACAGTCATAAAATTATAATATTAAGTACAGTCATAAAATTTAAATTCCGAACAAACAACTAGCATTGACATACTTTGCACCTAATTAATCAACCAATTAATCTCAACACTTTAACTTGCACCTGCAAATATTTGTGTAATTAAAATTATGACAAAACAGGTAAGGCTAAGCTAAATATTCTGGACCTTCTCGATTATATATATAAAAAATAAGAGCACTGTTGAACCGCGCGAACAAAAATAACATATTAGTTACAACAGCCGTAACAAAAAAAGATGACTAGTAACATTATTATTGTGTAGGTTTACCTCACATACCAAACTTGGTTGATGGAAAAAATTATCAAGCGGGACCACACTTTTTCCACATTCCATATAGTTCTAGAATCATCATTCAAAATGTTTACACCTAAAAATAACTACTCCTTGACAATAATGGTTCTTTTCTATGGACAGAGACGCATTCCTTACCGTCGTTCACACTTCCTAAATTAATAAAACTTGCACAACAAGGCATATTGTATTCTTGTTATTATTTTCTCCGTTTGCCGACATTTTAAATGCGAAGACTTATCATCCTTGACCAGCTGGCTTCTTCATTTGCCTTTTCCTAACTGGCAAAAACCATGCTTTTTATATATATATATTATATATATTTGTATATATGAAGAAGCATGAGAAGGCCGGGAAGCATTCTCTTCTGAAACTGGTTCTTGCCTGAATCACAGTTTCTTCGTCAATATGAAGGTAAACGCAAAACTCTCCCTCCCTCCCTCCCTCCCTCTTCATTTCTTCATTTTGCAGCTGTGCTAAACTTTCTTTGTCGGTTGAATCCATATTCGATCTGTCCTGTTTGATGCTCTTTGTTCTCTCTCTCTCTCTTTCTCTCTCACACACACACACCTTATGTACTGCCTCGTGTTTGGGTTTAGAATTCTGCTGTAAATAATAATCTCTCTAAGCTTTTGTTGTGATAAGCTTTGTGAAACGTGATTGCAGCAAAAGATATCGATGAAGGTGCAAATGTACTGCCAGAAATGCCGAGCAAAAGCCCTCACGGTTGCTGCTGGAACGAATGGTCAGTGACAGCAGTACGAATCACACACACACACACACTCTCTCTCTCTCTCTCTCTCTCTCTCTCTCTCTCTCTCACATTTTCTTTTCTTTCATAAAGCTTCTTTAACAAATTAATTGCGGAATTTCTGACAAAAATCTAAATAGAGAGAAAATGATGTGAGAAATTAGATAGAGAAAAACCAGTTCATGATAAAAATTTTTTCTCTCAATTTAATTTGTGAAAAATATTTGACAAAAACAAAAAATTGATAATAAAAAATTAAAAAATAAAAAATCATTAAGCTTCTCTCAAATTTATTCAAGAAAAGATTTCTTTTAAAAAAATTCATTGAGTTTTCTCAAATAATATTAAGAGCAATGTTCTCTCAAAAAAAATTAAAAGAACTTTTTCTCAAATCAAGTCAAGAGAAATATTCTCTCGGCTTTTCTTTTTTAAGAGGAAGTTATTGAAGAAAATTTCTTTCAGGTTAAGTCGAAAGAAATGTTTCTCTCTCAAAACAAGTTGCAAAAAAAGTGTTTCTCAAATTATTTAAATTTATATGAGAGAAATTTTAAAATTTCTCTAAGACATTTCAGAGAGAAACTTTCTCTGCAAATCTATCACAAAAAAATTTTAAATTTTTCTCAAATTTTTTTAAGAGAAATATAAAACACATTATATATATATATATATATATATTATTACTTAGTCAATTATCATATTATGTATTTATTGAATAAGATGGTCCAAAATGTGACAAAAAGTAAAGTAATCATAAAAAAAGGGGGGGGTGAGACTAATAGAGATTAGGTCTAATGTTATAATTGATGAACCAAATTTAAATCACTTCTCAAACCTAAAAAGCAACAGGAAATGGACATTGAAAAACATGATAGGGTGTTAATAAACTAATTATTAGGGTATATAGAGAGAGAATAGAATTATCTTAAAGTTATTATATAAATATAATATATATCTATATATATATGATATGATTTATATAATAATATCAATATTAATTTATCATATATATATATTCACTGACATTTATAGCTATAAGGTTGCTAAAAAATTTATCTATAGAATTCAGTTGAATTATATTTCACTTTTTCAATTGAGAAAAAATATTAATATAATCATATTTATAATATAACTTATGTAGTTTTAAATATACAAAATTAAGTGATATAATAAATAATATTAAGCTGTCATCTTATTGATTGCAAAAATAACATGCAAGCATAATGCTTTGATTCAACTTTTTGAGAGGCTTGCTAAACAATTTTTTTCTCTTTTGTATGCAAAAACATTTGACCACTTACTGAGTAAAAAAAAATTTTCAAAATTTCTCTTTAGTGACAATAAATTATTACTGCTAAAAGTATTTTTTTAAAAAAATAAAAATTTAAACATAATTATAAATTATATTAATAATTTTATAAAAAATATTTTTAAAATATTTAAAATTAGAATTGAAAAAGATAAAATTAAAAATAAATTATATAAATTAAAAGTATTTAAAGATTAATATGATTTAATTTTAAGTCAAGTTAAATTAAATAATATATTATATAGTTACCGACTAAATTATTAAAAATTTAAAATTATTTTGAGGTCTAATAATTAAAATCATTTAAAAATATGCTATATGATAAATTAATTTTTTTAAATAAAATAATATAAGCTTTATAAAAGTGTATATAACATTTATTTAATTTTTTAATTTAAGACATAAAATTTATTGTACCTTAATTGGCAAAAAAGTAAGTACCAAAAGCAGAGCCAAGTCATGCGTTCTATTGCAAGATAAACATATATTTATAAAATAAATATAGGCATGATGTAGCATGAGTATGGCAAGTGACATGCCGCGTGGCTAACATATAGGAGGGATAAAAAATTTAATTTTTAATATATTATCTAAATCTTTTATAGAATTTCTCTTGATATATTCCGTGATAAATATCTCTTGAAACATTTTTGATAGAAAATTCTCATGAAAAATTTTAAGAGAAATTTTTTTTAAATAAATTTGAAAAAAGTTTTTCTTAAATTTGCTGAGAGAAATTTTCTCATGTTATTTCATGAGAAACATTTTCTTTAAATTAATCTAAGAGAAATTATTTCTCTCAAAAATTTTGAAAGAAAATAAAAATTCTTATAAATTTTAATTCACTTAAATTTTTTGAGAGAAAATTGAGAGAAATCTCTTTTCTCACAATTTTTCTATTTTTCTCTCAATATAATTTTAAGAGAAACGTACCATTTTGTTGTAGTGATATATATATCTATATATATATATATATATCTGTATGTATGTTATATATGTAAATAGATGGAAATGATTGAATATGCAGGAGTGGATTTTGTGGGGCTGGAGGGGGAAGAGAGAGACAAGGTTGTGGTGGTTGGGAATGGAGTGGATGTGGCCAAGTTGGCGAGCTGTATGAGGAAGAAAGTTGGTCACACTGTTCTCATTAGTGTTTCCGAGGTCAAATAATCGCACAAACATTATATATAATATATATATATATATATATGCTTCTGAAGATGGTGAGAGAGATGAAGAGGCCGGGTCAGTTCAACCCCAACTTATCCATCCTTTCGTCTTTGAGATATATGTTCAAATTTTCATTAATATAATAATAGATTAGTTCAGCTATATGACCCTTGCAATCAATTAATATCATATATACATTATAACCCAACAAGCATGGGTGATTTTAATGTATTAGATTTGGAGGAGGAATGCATACCTATAATGCATGCCAAGTGATATGTTGAATGCAGGAATTTAATCATAGGGTTGGATTCAGTTCCTGGATTCACAGCAACTGTAAAGAAAAGAGAGAGAGATTTTAACTGGGAGAGAATATGAGAGACTATTTCTTGGAAACGATTCACATCCGAAACGCAAAAATACACACACAGCTTTTTTTAAACTCTGAATTGATCCCCATTTATGCGTAGGTTTCGGATGTGGGAGTCCCCCCCCCCCCCCCCCTCCCAAAAAAAAGAAAAACCGATCCCTCTAATCAAACAAATTGAACCATGGGAGATTTGCATACAAAGACCCAAGGAATATTATGCTTAGAAACCTAAACTTTTTATATTCATAATAAGCCCCATGAACTTATATAGTGGGCCAATCCGTCAACGGTGAATAATTCAATATAATGGAAAGGGTTATGATCATTTAAATATAAGATTTTGGGTTCGAGACTGTTATAAACAAGATCCTTACAAGAGATACCTATTTTTGAGAATAGTCAGTAATCTCCCATCAAATCTTCCTATTGTACATTTGAAGAGGTGCATTGGTGTGAGCATGATGGCTTCAGTTCTACGCCTGCTTCAATTATTCAATGTTACATTATCATCAAGAGTGATGATGAGTGTGTGTGTGTCGTGGAAAATTATATCATCAGGCTTCAAAATCTTTAATCAAGAGGATACAACTCAATTACTTACCCATTGAACCAAACATATTGTTCTTTAAAAGATTTATCTATACCATGTGAACATTATGAAATAAGTATTCTAACTTAATGGTAAGTAGATACGCTTTTAGTGTTGTTAATTTAGAGAGCTTGAGAAAAATCACTGTCAACAATCTGACATGGAGCTCTGGACAAAAAATTTCTTTATTAAATGATAAACTGAGTCAAGTTACACATTGATCAGGGACACATATATATAGCCTTGAACAAAGCACATAATACATAGCAGAACACTTGGAATCCTTAACAGCCAAATATAATAACAAGAGGGAATATTCTATATATACAACTAACAGTGGCAATATATTGCTTATAAATTGTGAATAAAATAACAAATATAACTCTCTAACTCCCAACATTGGATTGAGCCATTGGCACCGTCGAGCAATTTTCATGCCAAAAGCCGATATGGATAGCAATTTTCAAATATTAATATGCTTTTAGGAAAATTTCGGAAACTGTTGACAAAAGTCCATTTAAACGAAAACGCAAAAATTTGCCGGTTCCAAAAAATTAGGAGCCTGCAAGTTTATCGAACAAGGTCCGTTCCTTGGGCTTCACCCGAAGTGGGCCGATCTGTGGGCCCTGAGTGGATCCATAAGGCCCAAAAAACTAGGCTCCTACGAGGGACCAAACAATCCGCTACCATTCGTTTCCTTTGCGTAAAGACGTTCCTTTGATTAATCAAATGGTACGAAGTATCTTTTGCCAAATAAGAAGTTGCAATGTTGTTGTCCCTGATCATGAAAATCTCGCGCACATATAACATATATGCCAGTTTCAGTTTTACTTATTAGGCTTTTGAAAAATATAATAGATTAAAACGTCCAAACTCAAATTTGGAAGAGAAAAAATTTCATTAATTATTAGAGTCAGTTTGACTATTTCAACTTATAGGTCTAATATAAAGTTTGGAGAGTTATTTTATGCATTACTCAGTTTTATTGGGTTATTTGCGCGCACAAAATTTTCATGGGAGTATTTGATCAATAATTAAAAATAATATGATGTAATTAACTTTTTATAATTTTTATAGAATGATTATAAATAACTTATATTAACCGCATGAAAGAATAATACAATAACAAGCAAAGACGTATTTCGCTGGGAAACATACATCCAATAATATGGTATAGATTGATCAACTTTTAGATTGTCTCAACCTTACATGTTTAAAGTTGTAAATACAAGCCAACCCACGTGTTGTGGCTCGGCAGGGCCAACAAAATAAAACTGCTGTTAACTCAAATTTTTTTTTGAAAAATATTTTCAAAGCTTTTTTAGAAATTTAAATTCAAATTGTTTCTATATTTCCAGAAAGTTATGTGATTAAATTAATTAACCCATAAACTTGCAAATATAGAAATATAACCTGTTTTACATAATTACTCTAAATATCAGCATAAAAATGATGAATCAATAAAAAAATCAAACCAAGTTCCAAACAAAACAGAGGCTATGATTAAAACAAATGCAAATCATTAACTTATTTTTCATTAAAATTAATTTTTTTTAAGAAAAGGGGCTAACATGGCTAGCTAGCTAGCTTGCTTTTTAGATGAGTTCGGTGATGTGGGCTATATCGATCCGGTTTTTATAAAGGTTGAAATTTTTTTAATTCAACTCATCACTTTTTTTGTGGATTTATCTATAGAGTACTCTAACCTATTTTCTCAACTGGACATGCAAAATTATAAACAATTGATATGGGGCTTCAAAAAGGTTCTTCCACAAACTGTGACAGCTACTAGCCAATGATTTTTTATAATTTTATAGAATTATAAACTAACTTATATTAAACATATGATAAAGAAAACAATATAACATAAAAAGCAAAACGTATTTGTGGGACAAATCGATCAACAATAATAAAAACATAGAACGTAGCTTTCGATTGTAACATCTTATATGTGCCATAAGTGGTCAACCCAAGCGAGTTCACGGTGGGCAGTGGCCCACTAAATAAACCCCCTGTTGTCCGTGCTCCGTTTGAAAAAATTCTAGGCTAGTCACTATTTTTTTTTTGAAAAATATTTTCAAAGCTTTTTTTAGAAATTTAAATTCAAATTGTTCTATATTTTCATAAAGTTATGCGATTAAATTAATTAACCTATAAACTTGAAAATATAGAAATACAACCTATTTTACATAATTACTCTAAATATCAATATAAAAATGATGAATCAATAAAAAATCAAAACCAAGTTCCAACAAAACAGAGGCTATGATTAAAACAAATGCAAAATATTAACTTCTTTTTTCATTAAAATTAAAATAATTAAAAAGGGGCTAACTTGCTTTTTAGATGAGTTAGGTGATGTGGGCTATCTGTGTGTTTGGAGAGTATAATAATCAATTTTTTTAATTAAAAATTTGGTTTTTTAGAAAATTACCCAAACTCTAGTTTAAGTGGGTAATCGATTTTATCCACAAAAAATCAATTTTTTTTCATAGCTGTGGAGGTGGGCTTCTGCATCGAATGAGAAGGGAAGAGAAAAAAACAAAATCTGATCAAAAAGCATGTGAAAAAATTATAAGAAAGGTCCAAATTAATAAAAATAAAATGAACTCTCTTCTTTTCTCTTTTTTTAATAAAATTCAAATTTTAAATCCTTAAGAAGTTTACTAATATAAGTTTCTATCAACTCCCACTCCACTTAACACTGCTATAAAAATAATTTAAATAAAATATTAATTGAAAAAGAAAATTAATTTAATTTAATTTAAAATTAAAGTCATTACAAAAATTATTATAAAGGTTTCGAGAGAGAGATTTTGTGTCATTTGTTACATTGCTATATTTTTTATGTTGCTAAAATTTCTAGACAATGCTTAACATCTTCGTTGGATATGGCTTACATTATGATGTTATTGAAAATTAACTTGTATATTATCATCTTCATTATTATTATAAAAATTAATGTTTGTTATTAAGAATTAAATCTTTCTCTTTTATTACATTTATTTAAATAAGATATATTGAGTTATTTATTTACATAAATTAAATGTTAATATTTATAGAATTTAAAATTTTTAATTAATCAGATATATAATTTAAATAAATATTTTACTTCTTAAATAAGATTAAAAAAATTTATAATATAAGATAAAAATTTATTAAGAATTTAATTTTAAAAAGTAATATTTTTTATGGTAATTTATACAGCTAAAATGATTCTAATTAAATTATCTAAACACTTTTAATTATGTTAAAATTAATTTTAGAAAAACTGTATCAAAATATTATGTTATAACTTAATCAATTATAATTAAAATTAACTATTTAATTAATTATATCCATTAAAATTCAAACGGATCCTGTATCAATCCGATGTTTACAAAGGTTGAAAATATTTCCAATCCAACTCATCACTTTTTTGTGGATTTATCTATTGAGTACTCTAACCTATTTTCTCAACTGGACATGCAAAAGTATAAACAATTGATGTGGGGCTTGAAAAAGGTTCCACCACAAACTTGGACAGCTCCTAGTCAATTGGATTCTTTGAGTAATAAAACAAATTAACTAATGCCCGTGGCCTGACACAAGTATGGTTAAGTTATGAGATTTTTTTTTTAACTATTAAAGACAATTCTATTTAATTATTGGGCACTAGATATAAACACTTCTCTCAATAAAGATTCTAACTGTAATTCCTCATATTATGAAGGACTAATTCTTTCCGTTAAATCCAATTCCATCAACATTAAGAGTCTCTAATTTGTATGACTCTAACTTAGGGTTGTTTAGTATTCAAAGGTTTGTGTGTAAGCCCTCTACTAGAGAGGCTGATTATGATATGTTGTGATTATTCCAGTTTCAATATAAATAGGTGTTATATGTTTCAGATTAAGAGACTCATGTATTGTCGTTTATCAGTTGATGAAGATTATGGCTTGAATTCTTAATTTTCAGTGTACATTGATATAGCATTAACCGCCAATCTCAATTGACGTATGTTATTAGCATCCAAAAATGTGCATTTATATTTTGGGAAAAACTTAAATACTGATTACTTAGCTTTATATATTTAATATATTTTTTTTCAATTAAATTAAGACAAGTAAATTTTAAAGTGTTAAAAATAATAATAATAAGAATTTATTATAAAATAAATATAATATATGAAAAATGTACATATATCAATTTAATTGAAAATAAGTATCTGAAATATATAAAACTTAAATATGCAAGTTTTTTCATTATCTTTCTCATTAGTTTTCTAGAATGGTTCTTCTAGCTGGCCCATCAGACAACTCTATGCCCACAAAGCTCTACCATGATGACAATAAAATCTCAAAAAAAAAAA